GCGAGCGCGCTGGGCCCCCCCCCCCCCGGACTGTGCGGCCCCTCACGCGAGGGGATCCCCCCAGTAACCCGCCTGCGGACGCCCCCTTCTCTCCTGCCCCCAGCTCGCTTCGCTCCCCTGTTCGCTGCGGCTTGGCCCTGGCATTGCGCAGCCACGTTGCTCAGACAGCAGCTGGAGCCCCCCTGCCGGCACGTTATATGCCCTTGGCTCCGTGAGCCCGGCCCAGCTCATCCTGCCCAAAGGCCCGCAGCCGGGCGAGGCCCTCGAGCCCTCCCTGGGGAGAATCGCCTTCGTGGGGACGCCAGGGCGGGTAGATGCCGTTGCTGCTCGGGGATCGCTGAGGTGACTCCGCAGGTGCTGGGGCAGGGTTTGTGGCTTTTCTGGGGGAGGGGCGAGCCCCCTCTTTCACCCGTCTTAATTCAACACGTGCGAGGATTGGCTGGACAGGTTGTGTCGGTGAGTTGGGGGTCCACCGAATCTTGCAGCCCCCATAGCAGCAAGAACAGACTCCGCCAGTCGTAGAATAGAGCGGGGCTTATTGTTCCTTCAGGATGCAGCGCAGCACATAGGGGTTGTGTCTAGACTGGTGAGTTTTTCCAAATCATCTGCTTTTGCGGAAAAACTTGCCAGCTGTCTACACTGGCCACTTGAATTTCCGGAAAAGCACTGACGATCTAATGTAAGATTGTCAGTGCTTTTCTGGAAATACTGTGCTGCTCCCGTTCGGGCAAAAGTCTTTTTCCGAAAGTCTTTTGCGCAAAAGGGCCAGTGTAGACAGCACAGTGCTGTTTTCCGCAAAAAAGCCCTAATCGCGAAAATGATCCTGCCAATCTAGACGTGCTTTTCCGACAATGCTTTTAACGGAAAACTTTTCCATTAAAAGCATTTTTGGAAAATCATGCCAGTGTAGATGTAGCCATGCAGAGCCGGCCCAAGCTACGGGGTGACTGGGCTACTGCCCAGGATTCCCCATTGTAGGGGGTGCCACGGCTGCCCATGCACCAGGCCGCACATGCGTCACATGCCCGGGGTGGGGCCACACACCCACGACGCACAAATGGCTCAGGACGGCCCTGCACATATGTGATGTGGCTACAGGGTGCCTCAGACCCTAAAGTTAGGGTCCATTGCCCCTAGGCTCCAGCTTAGCCTCTTCTCTCCATGCTTCCCAGATAGCAACTGTCTCCCTCTCAGGCCCTGCCCCCCAGCCAGGTGTTGGTCTCCCCCTTCCTCCCTTTGTCTCTCTCCCTGGAAGGCTGAGCCTAGGTGTCTGGGTTCATACGCATTTGGGAAAGTCAGTGAGAATATCACATCACAGCGCAGGGGGACACTGGGTTACAGAGCAGACAGCACCCCTATTACGCCACACAGGTTAAAGGGGTAATCAAGGCCATTGAATGGCCACAGTTGTTTGAGGGTTTTGTTCACTCCAAAGATAGAAGGGTATATCTGTTAAACTTCACAGGCTGTGGTTTTGCATATTGATTTAATGATGTTGGGAGACTCGCTGGCATTGTGTAATCTCATTTCTACCCCCTATCCCTCCAGCCTTCTTGTGGCTATAGAGATGGCTGTATGTTCATCTGGTTCTCACATATTTCCTAAGAACAAAATTTACTGTAAGGACAAGCCTACTTGATGGAGGGGAAGGATACCAGCTAGAGCTGTAAGGATATGACCAGATTTATCTGGACAAACTTCAGTTCCTCTTACCTCCAGGTGTTCAGGATGCTAATAAAAATTCCTGCTTGGAAGACAGGAAGGAGAATGTCTTTGGTGAGACAGGGAAAACTATCCTATCATCTGAAGAAGTGGGTTGCACCCACGAAAACTTGTGATCCCATCTACATGTTTTATTAGTCTTTAAGGTGCTACTGGACTGTTTGTTGTTTTTTAAGTTTTTCCTGTTATGACCTAACTCAGCTACCCCTCTGAAGCTTTTGGTGAGATAGTGTTCTGTCTTCAGAGTCAGGGGAATGGATCTAATCACAGGCAGGGAGCTTTTTTATTTGCTTTCTGAGTAGATTTGCTAGCTTTACTTGTTATGAGTACTAAATCTTCAGGGAAAATATTTTGACAAATTACTTTGAAAAAAAAATCCAGATGCTCATCTTATATGCAAAATCTCAAGCAGTATTTTTTCAACAGAGAAGTTGTAAACTCTTGAAGGGAAGTGGTTTATAATGGCAGAACCTTAACTCTAGAGGCACAAACACACCACCTTCATTGGAGTTGAGAAATTTGATTCTGCAATAATTAAGGATGCATATCAGTATCACTTAGGCCTTTTAGGAAAATAGGAATTTAAAATAATGACACAAAGCTTTGGTACATTTTTATTGTCTTATTAATTCCTTTAACCAATAATGAGATACTTAGTAAATATTGCTGTTTGCAAAGTAACATTCAGTGAGAATTTCTTGCATGATTTTTTTATAGTGCTTTTAAAACAGACATACAATGGAGAGAAGACAAGTGAGGACTTCAAGAAATACTGGACCACCTTAAAAGGGCACTCTAGAAAGAATCTGTAGGGTTGAAACCAGGCTTCATCTTTCACACTCCAAAAGTACATGTACAGGTATTAGCAGTTACAAAATTGTATGTGCCTCTGTGGATGGTGGCAAAATGTTTACACATTATTACATGCATACAAATGTATTTTTGTGAACGCAATCAGAGTCTGCTGAAAATGTGACCTAAACTTGAAGATTAGATTATGTGCAGCAAATTTTCAGTGTTGGGAAATGGAACACAGCTCCCTCTGCCAGACCAAGTAACCCGAAACTTAATGTGCTCTGGGATTGCGTATTTTAAAAATGTAAAATGAACAGCAGCCCTGAAAGTTGGAACCCAACAAAGAGGGTGCCAGACAAGTTGTATCCCATAACAGGAGGCATGAGGAGGTGTGGGTGAGGGTGGTAACCTTGTGACAGATGATGTGGAGAAAGCTTAAGTACTTAATGCTTTCTTTGCAACTGTCTTCACAGAAAAGGTCAGCTCCCAGACTAATGCACTAAGTGATGCAATATGGGACAAAGGTGGACAGCCCTTGGTGGGGAAAGAACAGGTCAGGAACTATTTAGAAAAGCTAAACGTACATAAATCCATGGGTCCGGACTTAATACTTCCGAGGGTACTGAGGGAGTTGGCAAATGTCATTGAGGAGCCTTTGGCCATTATCTTTGAAAAGTCGTGGAGATCAGGAGAGATCCCGGATGACTGGAAAAAGGCAAATGTAGTGCCCATCTTTAAGAAAGGGAAGGACGACCCAGGGAACTATAGGCCAGTCAGTCTTACCTCAGTCCCTGGAAAAATCATGGAGGAGATCCTCAAGGAATCCATTTTGAAGCACTTGGAAGAGAGGAAGATGATCAAGAATAGTCAGCATGGATTCACGAAGGGCAAGTCGTGCCTGACCAATCTGATTAGCTTCTATGATGAGATAACTGGCTCTGTTGATATGGGGAAGTCAGTGGATGTGATATACCTTGACTTTAGCAAGGCTTTTGATAGGGTCTCCCACAATATTCTTGCCAGCAAGTTAAGGGAATGTGGACTGGATAAATGAACAGCAAGATAGATAGAAAGCTGGCTGGAAGGTCGGGCCCAGCGGGTAGTGATCAACAGCTCGATGTCAGGACGGCAGTTGTGTTTTTGTGGAGTGCCCCAAGGTTTGGTTCTGGGACTGGTTTTGTTCAACATCTTTATTAATGACCTGAATGAGGGGTTGAATTGCACCTTCAGTAAGTTTGCTGATGACACTAAGCTGTGGGAGAGGTAGATATGCTGGTGGGCAGGGATAGAGTCCAGAGGATCTTAGACAAATTGGAGGATTGGGCCACAAGAAATCTGATGAGGTTCAACAAGGACAAGTGTAGAGTCCTGCACTTGGGACGGAAGAATCCCAAGCATTGTTACAGGCTGGGGACCAACTGACTAAGTAGCAGTTCTGTAGAAAAGGACCTCGGGATTACAGTGGATGAGAAGCTGGACATGAGTCAACAGTGTACCCTTGTAGCCAAGAAGGCTAATGGCATATTAGGGTGCATTAAGAGGAGCATTGCCAGTCGATCCAGAGATGTGATTATTCCTCTTCACTCGGCTCTGGTGAGGCCACATCTGGAGTACAGTAATTACTTTTTATACGTACCTGCTTAACACATTTTCACGATAGCATGATTTTTTTTTTTTTTTAGGGAGCGTTTTTTGAACAACACGACCGTCCTCGAAATAACACGGTTTCCCCAGCCGGCCTATTGCTGGCAGCTGTGCAGGGCTTCCCCTGCCTCCCTGCAAAGCGGCGGAGGGTTTGCCACTTGCCATGCCGTTTCCCACCAACTCCCCCTCGCCGGATGCAGTACATGTCCTGGCAGACCTGTCACATGGGCATACTCCCAACCCAATCCCCCTTCCCTCTCCGCCTCTTCCCTTTCCCAGAGCCAAACACCTCCCCTCCCTGCTGTAACCCAGTCCCCTTTCTCCCCCAACCTTATGTCCCGGTCCCCAGGCAGCTGCCTGTGCTCAATGGCCGGCTGCTAGCAAGTGCAGGCTGGAGCCACGAGCGCACGTGCACTTGAAATGCAACCCCAACCTTTTCCATTACTTTAAATGAGAAAATTGACCCCGCATAACACATTATCGCTTAACACGATCATTTTCTGAAATGTATCTATTGTGTTAAGTGAGGAATTACTGTATTGTGTCCAGTTCTGGGCCCCCAATTACAGGAAGGATGTGGACACATTGGAGAGGGTCCAGCGGGGAGCAACCAAAATGATTAGGAGGCTGGAGCATATGACCTATGAGGAGAGGCTGAGGGAATTGGGTCTATTTAGTCTGCAGAAGAGAAGAGTGAGGGGGGATTTGATAGCAGCCTTCAACTTCCTGAAGAGAGGTTCCAAAGAGGCTGGAGAGAGGCTGTTCTCAGTAGTGACGGATGGCAGAACAAAGAGCAGTGGTCTCAAGTTGGGGTGGGAGAGGTCCAGATTGGATATTAGGAAAAACTATTTCACTAGGAGGGTGGTGAAGCACTGGAATGGGTTACCTAGGGAAGTAGTGGAGTCTCCATCCCTAGAGGTGTTTGTCTTGGCTTGACAAAGCCCTGGCTGGGTTGATTTAATTGAGATTGGTCCTGCCTTGGGCAGGGGGCTGGACTTGATGGCCCTCTAAGGTTTCCTCCAGCTCTATGATTCTATGGGAAAATGAAACTTCTGCAGGAAAGAATTACAGGAGGCTCAAAGAAAAAGGGAATCTGACTTCAGGAAGTTTAAATATATAACCATAAACATCGCTTATGCTCTAATCTGACCCTAAATCCCAAAAGTTAAGGCTTGTGCATATCCCAATGTGTTTCTGCTTTGAAGCTTTAGAATTAGTTCAACTTGTGCTGCTCCTTGTACTTACGATGAGCTTTTCACTCCTATCTTGTTCTCTCTAAACAATTGTATCCACCTGTTGACTCATCATACATTCAAATTATAAGCTCTTTGGGATAGGGATGTAAGCGATTAGTCAACTATCTGATAAGCATAAACTTATCCGATAGTCGAGTAGTGACTCAACTAGTCGCTCCCCCACCACCACCTCCCACAAGCATCAGTGCTTAAAAGCCGGTTCTCCCCAGCACCATCTCCATTGCAGGGGAGCAGGGACGTAGCGGAGAAACGGCACAGCAGTAACTGAAGTAGTGCCCCACTGATGCCAGTTCCCACTGAGGCCATTTCAGCTTTTGCAAAAGCAAAAGCACAGCAGGGAGCACGGGGCAAGCAGGAAATTCAAGCAGTCCACTGCTCCCCTGTGTTCCCACTGTGGCTGCTTCAGCATTTGAAGGGACTCTTGTACATTTCAAAGGCTGAAGAGGCCGCAGTGGGAACTGGTGCGAGCAGGGGACTACTTGAGTCCCTGCTGGCCCCGTGCTCTCTGCAGTGCCTCCCCCTTGCTGCCTCTCTAACAGGCAGCAAATGGTGGGAACAGAAGCCCTTGTGGGAGAGGGGAGGGGGAGGCAGCTTAAAAGCAGGTTCCCCCAGCACTGACTCTGGGGTGCTGCCTCTATCAGAGGCAGTGGAGGGGTAGAGCAGGCTGCGAAGCAACTCCTGTCCGCAGGGGTCCCAGCGGGAAGCGGAGCCCCCCCCCACACACACACACACACACACAAACACACATGGACTGCTGCCACCAAGCAGGCCCTGTTGCAACAGCTGGCCCTGGCTGCCCCCCCCCCAGCCTCTGTTTGTGGCCAACAGGGGCTGCTGGACTCAGAACAAGCCAGGACCCAGCAGTATCGGCTCATACTGATCACTGCGCCTCTGCATTTAAATGTAGTAAGAACCTGGCAGCTCTTACTTCATTTTAAATTCAGAGCTGCAACGCAGGTGGCTCCCCGAGCCGGCACAAACCGGGATTGCTCAATCCTGGCTCAAGCCGGCTCCTGGAGCTACCCCTGCAGCAACTCTGCAGAGTGGTTCTGTTGACTAATTGTATAGTCTATACAAATTGCCCGATTAGCCTGATAAATGAATTTTAACAGCCTTACTTTGAGATAGAGATTAAACATTTATTACAGCACCTCACCTTGATCCCTGATTTGAACCTCTGAATACTACCAAAAGACATATAATTATATTAATGTTAATGAAATGAGCTTGTTAGTTGCTCTCTTGGCCTAACGTAAGGCCCCAATCCTGTCCCCACTGAAGTCAGTGGGAGGCTTGTTATTAACTTCAATAAGACTTGGAGTGGGTTGCAAGCTAATATATATAGTTCAGCACATTTGTCATATTTTCCTTTGAGAAGTCTGAATTAGATTATGACGCCTCTCCCACTATCAAGAAGGTATGTTGCATCAGCTGTTGAACTCAGCACGGAGCCTGTGAGTAGGTTCCAATCCCATTAGGGGAGGCATCATTAGGGAGTGCTCTGACAATGCAACTGTTGTTTTTTGGCCTTGCCTCACAAAAATCACAGATGGGAGCCACATGACTGCATGATCCTTGCTAGGAGATCTAACGCAGAATCAGATCTTACATTGGTATAAACTAGGAGCAAGTGCAATGAAATCCAAGTTAATCAGTATAAAGCTTGTGGAAGGGGAAACAAACAGGTCCTACATGTATGACAGAAAAATCAATTTGTTAATTGTCTATTTGTTGTGGTATTTCTAAAATGTTATTCTAAATTTGTGTATTGGAGTTTGCCCTCTTGAAATTCATACTAGCTAATCAGGTCAGTCAATTTCTCCTCCCTACTGCATGTTAACCAATAAAACTCAGAAATTCCAAGTCCTGTAAATTGTGCTGTATCACCATCATTGCTCGCTGAATTCTGATTGTTAATTAAATGATGAGATTCCTAAATTCTAAGCCATTAATTGGACTGTATTATACTCATGGCCAGGAATACTTATCAGTGAATATGATGTTTACTGTTGGCTTTATAATTATACTTAATATCCCGGGTTCCTTGAATGTGAGAGACAATACAGAATGGAAGAGGAGCAAACACATATAAGAGGAGGGAAGAAAAGAGGAAAATAAATCCATTGCTGCTACAAGCATAAACAAAACAAAAAAAACCTCTTCTCCAACACTGCTCTAAACTTCCTGAAACAGCAACTTCTAACACCAAATTAATTATTGTAAAAAAACAGTTTATAAACAACACACAAGCTAAAATATGTTTGCATAAAGTGTTAGTTGAGAAATTCTAAATACTGAACTAATTTATTAAAACATATTGCAGTTTGCATGTGGCCATTTTGAGCCAAAGAAAAGGTTAACTTCCTGAACTAAATATATTTTGCTCTTTGTGTGCAGAAACATAAGGGCTGCGTCTAGACTGGCATGATTTTGCGGAAATACTTTTAACGGAAAAACTTTTCCGTTAAAAGTATTTCCGCAAAATCATGCCAGTCTAGACGCAGCCCTTATGTTTCTGCACACAAAGAGCAAAATATATTTAGTTCAGGAAGTTAACCTTTTCTTTGGCTCAAAATGGCCACATGCAAACTGCAATATGTTTTAATAAATTAGTTCAGTATTTAGAATTTCTCAACTAACACTTTATGCAAACATATTTTAGCTTGTGTGTTGTTTATAAACTGTTTTTTTACAATAATTAATTTGGTGTTCACTGCTCATTATTCAAGGTGTGTTGTTGGTCATCAAGAAAGTTATTTTGTGTTTTATGATTAACATAATCTTACTATATATTTTAGAAATATGCAACTGTGAGTCTGTTGGTGAAGAATTCCTTCTAAGTGGTAAGAGCTAGGACTACCAAATTAGGTATACAGTTTCCTCCTATCACAGTGGTCTCCAGTCTTTTTAAGCACAAGATCACTTTTTGAATTTAAGTGCAATGTAAGATCTACCTCAAACCCAAATATCCTTGCCCTGTCTCCTTCGTGTCCCTTCTCTGAGGCCTTGCCCCTGCTCACTCCATCCTTCCTCCCTTTCACCATGCAGGGGCAGAGGGTTGGGATGCAGGCTCTGGTCTTGAGCTAAGGGATTTGAAGTGTGAGAGGGGCTCTGAGATGAGCTTGAGGCAGGGAGTTGGGGTGCAGGAGGGGGTTCAGAGTGCAGGCTTTGGGGAGGGAGTTTGGCTTTAGGAGGTTCGTGACTGTGGCAGGGGTTCAGAGCTGGCTCCAGTTGGACACTGCTTACCTCAGGTGGCTCCTGGGTTGTGGTGCAGTGGGGCTAAGGCAGGCTACCAGTAGCTCCCAATGTCTTATCATAACGTAAAGAAAGGTAAGGGTTTGGCTGCATCAGGATAAGGGAATGTGCCAGGAATTCAATTGTTTCTCATAAAATGGAGAGGGAGGTGTCTGGCAGGAGGGACAGTTATACCACAGAATGACCAGAGGGGGGCAGCAAGGTGCCAGTGAGGGAGACTGGGACAGCTATAACCCCAATGAGCCAACAGTGGGAAGCTATCTATTATATATTTCAGAGTGTTTGTCTGTGTGTCTGTCTTTCTGGGTACGTCTAGACTACATGCCTCTGGTGACAGAGTCATGTAGATTAGACTACCCGGCATAGAAAATGAAGCGGCGATTTAAATAATCGCCGCTTCATTTAAATTTAAATGGCTGCCGCGCTGAGCCGATCAGCTGTTTGTCTGGACGCTCCGCGGTCGACATCAAAGGCATTTGTCGACCTCCCAGGTATGCCTCATCCCAGGAGGCATGTAGTCTAGACGTACCCGCTGTCCCCCAGCTGGAGGACATGTGCTCCTCCCCCAGCTGTGCTCGCTGCAGTTGTAGTGGCCATGAGTAAGCACTTCTCACCTGACCCCAAGCTACTGTGGTAAGAAAGGGCTGGAGTTGTCCTCTCTCCCTAGCCCCACCCCAGAACAATGTTTTAAAAGAAGAAGAAGAACACTTATTTGAGCTGAGAAATGCCAGGTAATTTTTTTGTATAAATTACCCATGTGA